GCACATTTTATTACACAAAGCAGTGAAGAAGCACACATTCAGTAAGATAATTAATTGACGCTAAATTCCTCTTAATGTGGAGAAGGTGTTGCTTTGGATGGAGTTAGACATGTTAATGTCTCCTTCAAGCATATTTCCTTACCTTGTAATTACCTTCATACTGTGCCAGTTGTGTTTATGTTCTTTTGATATAAGGCAAACAGAACAAATATTTGTGTGGAAAAACAGATGCATTACCTTTGTAAGAATGCCCATAAGTGTTGTAATATGTGTGCAAACATATTTAAATATTCACCTGGAGCTTTATAATGAAGCTGATGTAGACACTGCAGTCTGAAATTTAATTTCAAATAGGTATAGGAACAGCAGCTTACAAACTTTGCAAAATAAGGAAAATAAAAACAAATACATCATACCTTTTTGTTTTAAAGATTCTCAAATACTGCTTAATATTTTTGTTAAATGAAACACAAACACTAGCTAACAAATACATTAATGAAATTCTCCTTTTGAGAGTAACCACCAACTGTTGCTGACACCTCCATTCAAATAGCATCCTATGCCTGACTTAGGATTTCTGGTACAGGCCTCTTGCACATGCTTTGCAAAATAACAAATTCAGTTAAATGCCAAGGTAAGTACTTAAAGGCTGTCTTACATAAGGATCTGCTCAGCTGCAGTGAACTAGCATTTATCCACTGCTGAAGTCTGTAACAACAGCAGCCCTCAATTTACTTGCAGCTGATTAAATTTATATAAAAGCCCTTCCAGATGCTGGCAGGGCACAGCCTTACAGCTGGGCTGCCTGCTGTCGGTGTGTACCAGAATGAGTAATGAGGTGCTCTCCAGATCCAATAGTACAACTAACTATCAGGTACATTTGTCATTCAGCCTTCCTCTGATACAACACTTTCTGTTTCCTTAGACAAATCTGTTATTCGTTCAGGTCAAGATTCTTTTTCTGTCAGGAGTATGAGGGAATAAAATGAAGAAACCAAATCACAGAGGAACTGTAAAGGACATTGCTCTATCAGGCAGAGCTCAACAGGCAGCTGACTCATAGAATTTATTACTAAAAGAGCTATCCATTTGGGTTAGGCTAAATAAACAGCATTAATAAACAATATTGTAACATTTTGAGGCACCAGTCACTCTCAAGTGCCCCAAACAATCCTTTCCATTATTTATACCAGTAAGGTAACTGCTGAACCACAGCCTGAACCACTGATGGAGCACCTGGAGAAAGGACCATGTCAGCCTTGGGAGCACAGGTGAAGGCAATTCAGCTGTGTGACTGGAATGGGTGCTGCCTAGCTGCACCTCTTTTAGACCCTATTTAAGGGCTGACGGCCACTGGAAAAGGATTCTGATTGGAGATCTCTCCCTTGTAGAGTCATTTCTGTAAGCCTAGATCTTTGGAGTATGGCTGAGCACCTTTACTTTTCCTTCGAAATACTGTTCCATCTACACTGGTTTCTTTGCTGTTACATTCTTGTATTGCCCTTCCACTGTGTTAATCTTTCCAACTGTAACTATAATAATAAAAAAGCTAAACTGGGGGTTAAAGGATAAGCAAAGAATATGTAAAGCAATTTTAAAAATAAACTATAGAAGTTGTTGTGGAGAAACATAAAAAATGTATGAAATCTCCTGGCAATAAAAAATTATGAAGTAGATAGATGCTAGGTAATTCAGTTATTCTAGAAAAAAAAAGAGGTTCCTAAGAGAACATAAACACACAAAACACACACTTTTATTTCCTTAAATGGAAACTTAGATTCAGTAAGTCTCAAAGCATATCCTCTCTACCATCCCCAAGCTTATATCTTGATCTATGCAAAAAAGCTGGGATTCTTGTGAACAAAATTTGAATGTGGGAAAAGGACTAATCTGACCTGATATTAGTTTAGTGACAGAAGTTATGCTTCACAAGAGTCTAAACATAGATACTCTCTGCTGCACATGGTTCAGTCTAAACAGGACAGGCATAGCCTGGGAACTCGGAATCTCAGAAGAGACAACTTAAATCTCTTCAAACTTATGCTATATTATAGATGCCCTACGCAACAGCAAAAAAAAAAAAAAAGAATAATTACTAGAAATATGGGCAGGGGGTGGAGAGGGAGAAGAAAAGTGTGTAATTGCAACCTTTTTTAACAAGAGTAGAGCTGTCACTCCCTCAAGTGGTCAGATGTTTACCTTTGAATGTGTGTATGGAAATGGAAGAAAGGAGGAAGGATGGTGCATACTTCTAATTAGTGACCTTTAGAGGAAATAATTATTTTTTCTACTTTTTTTCCAATTATACTTGAGAAGTTAGTCTTTTAAGCCAAATGCAGAGGCTGGCATTTTTAGTCTGCCAGACTCCTGGTTTCAAATCTGTTTTTCTTCCTAACATGAGTGACTTTTCAGTTAACTTGTTTACATGAACAAACCTGTTGGCAGCAGTAAACTCAGCATGGAAATTCAATAACCATTCCTTTCTGGCAGTATGAGCAGACCTTCACTGAAATCACTGACAGACTGATTCTGATTTCTCAGCAGTTTAATAGCAGTCTTGGAAGTGAATTTTTGTTGAGTAATATTTGTGGAGATTTAATTAACGTCCGTAGGCTGTAATGAATAATGCCTTTGCTGAAATGTAGTTTCTAACTGAGCACTGTTCTGATCAAAATTCTGCAGGCTAGCTCTCTTTCCTACTAAATCAATATAATGCCAGATCCTACCAGTGCAGATGTGAGATCTGTATCTGCATTGCTTCTGTGTAAACAGTATTTGTCCTCTGCTTGAATAATTGCCACAGAAATAAATACTCAGTTGCCTCTGATAGGTATTTTCCTATGTTTTGTCAGTTCTTGCTAAACTTTCAGGACACTTCATAACTGCAGAAAATATAATGTAAAAGCAAAATATCAGAGATTATCACTATAATAAAGTCTGAAAGATCTAAAAGGCAAAGGCACTTCTTCAAAAAAGGCATAATTCTTTAGAGACATTTTGATAAGGGATAATAGTCTCTAATGTGTTTGATTAATGTTTTTTGTGAATGACTGGGAAAATGATACTGGTATTCTACTTGAAAATATCAAACCTTCAGAGTTTATTGGTAAGTATTACTGGAATAATTTCAGAAAAACTAAGAACAAAGTATGTCTGGTATTTCAGAGAACCTGGACAATAGGATTGCCTGAAGCTTTACTTAGATGTGTCTGCTGCAAGCAAACAAAGAATTTCAGGGACAGAGAATAAAGGTAAGTAATTGAAGGTCCCAGCATTTCAAAGTATAGGAAGAAAGTCAAAGCAGGGAAGGATCACCCTGGATTATATACAGTTTGCTGAAGATCTGTGCTTCATATGAACAATGTAGCCAAAACAAGCAAATAATATTTGAGTTCAAAATGAGAATAAAATACAAAAATGCCAGCTTATCCACAAGTCTTACATGCTTCCAAAATGCGCTACACCCAGTATGAAAACAAATGTTTCCAACAGAGAAGTTCAAAGAAAGACACAGTAAAGGCAAAATAACCACTCAAGAATTAAAAGGAATTAGAAGACTCTCATACTTTCAAAAGATATAAAAGCTACAAACTAAAAAATAAAGGTTCATAAAACATGAAATAAGATACATGATACTGAAGCTGAGATAAATTGATTTCTGTCTCCCAATAAATGACAGCATAAGTGATCAAAACAAGTTATTACAACACAACAGGATACTATGAAATTCAATACAACTACACATAACTGACAACAAATACTCTACAAGCTGCAAAAACACTTGGCATTCATTCACTCACTGTCTTTAGATAGAATTTTGTATGAGTACAAAAAAATGCTGTTTTGAGAATTAAAAAAAAAACAAAACAAAGTATTCTCTTTTACCAAGATGCAGCTTTTTTTTTTTTTTTGGTGTTCCTTACTCAAAATTTACTAAAAAACCTTTGTATGCTGTATTTATGAACACTGTACTAACTCTTTTTGTTACAAAAAAGGGTGCATTTGGAAGGAGCCCTGTGCTTCATCTCTTGCTTCTCAGAAGCTTAGACCTACTCTAAAACTAGCCTCACCTTCTTGGCTAAGGTTATGCAGGTTCTCCAAAGACCAACACATAGGATCATGCCAGTTTTCTCTATGGACACCCAACATAGCTGGGTTCTACGGAGATCACAGATCTCTAATGAAAAGTCTCGTTTAGACTTTGTTTCAGTGAATCAAAAATCAGCATCCTACAAAGTGAAAGATAGATGACTTCTTGAGAAAAAAATATTTCTTGTCGTTAATGTGACCCTTCGTGTGAAGGCCTTAATTTAATATTAAATATGAAAACCCTGTTTCAATGCAAATATTATAACCAACTCTTCTGTTTTCTTTCCATCACCCCTTAATTGTCCTAAATAATTTGTCAGGGTCCTAAGTGAACTGATAGGCTTTAACAGCCCCCAGCAAGGCTCACCTGCCCCAGCCATGAGCTCAGGAGCCTCATTTAAGCTGAGCCCTGGGTTCAGCTTAATCTGTATCTAAGATATGTTGTAGGAGTATCAGATTCTGGCTTAGCCCTGGTTGTGCCTAGACACAGGCCTTCTTCATTTCAATCTTGACCTACAGTCTAACCTTCAAACTTAACTTCAATTTTCTATATCAGTAGGGATCTGCTTAGTAATCACTATGTTTCACTGCAGTTATTCTCAGTGGACCTGAGGCTAACCAGTGGCTGCCTTCCCAGCTTAACCTCAGACCTACTTCATTGCTTGCTGGGTAACCCAGACCCTTGGCTGAACCTAGCCTGCCCTGCTTGCTTTGCTGAGGTACTCAGGCATTGAGGCCCTGATGTGTTGGCTTTGTTATCTATTTGGCTCCTGACTTTTATGAATCACCCAGTCCTCAATGCTTCTCGATGCTTTTTTATTTACCTTCAAAGTAAACTTAGTTTTTCTACACCTGTTTTGGCATGAGAGTTATTATAAAGACTGTAAAAACTCAGATGCTCTCTCTCTCTCTTTTTTTTTTTTAATGTAAAGTTAAATAATTTTAAAAAATAAACTTGACCATTAAAAGTCAATTCCTTTTGATTCAGCAGGACTCTATCTCCTCCTCTTGTTTACAGCCTGAATATAACCATGTGAGTCTCACTATGCATGTGTCCCCATTTTAATATGGAGAATATGAATTGTTCTCTTCACCACCAGCACTTTTAAGGAAGGAGGATGCCATAGCTATTCAGTTTTCTGTCATTACCTGTAACACCAGGAAGAAAGCCGTACATAAACAGAAGCTTAGAGCCACCTGGAAAACTTTTTAATTCTGGATCAGCTGAGATGACACTACCTGTAAGAAAGTTAAGAATGGCATTTAATAAAAAACAGCATCCTAATGGTATTTAGTTACGCATGTCCACAACCTTATTAGTCGGAACTGAACTCACAGTTTATAACTTTAAATTTCATGAAAAATGCTGAAAATCCTCACTCAACGTGCGTACAAAATCTCTTCTGAATCGGGAGTCAGGACGGGAGACAGAAGCTGCCTTTGTTTGTGGTACAGAGCACCATCTGGTGGCCCTCAGAGTGAGCCTGGAGATGGAGTTGGAGCCTTCCGTTGAATACGCCCGAGAACTTTTCTAACTGTTGTTAGAAAAACAGCTCTCAGGTGTCTTTTTTTTTTTTTTTTTTTCGCAGTGACAACCGCAACACCGTGCATTTAGTCGTCCCTGGAGGTGTTCAAGGCCAGATTGGATGGGGCCCTGGGCAGTCTGGTCTAGCATTAGGTGGAATGGTTGGTGGCCCTGCATGTGGCAGGGGGGTTGGAGATTCATGATCCTTGAGGTCCCTTCCAACCCTGGCAATTCTGTGATTCTGTGCGATTCTGTAATAGAAACCAGAACGCCAGTTTCCAGCAGTTTTCACTTAAATGCCAAGAACAGCATGACAAACCATCGTAAACTTAATTTTGCAATAACTTTATATACAGCCTCACCAGCACTTCCCCAGCCCCAGCACAGGAAGTGTGTGTAACCGGTTACTGAATTCAAAACTGCAGTGTCCTACACAAACCTTCCAAACACTGCTGTGATGGAAACCAGTGAGCCACGCACACTGGCTCAACAATTTTTGGGGGCTGGTTTAGATGATTTTCTGCCTTCGTTGAAGATGTTTTCCCTGTGGCGTTTTTTCGTAAGAATTTAACTCAACAGCAACCCACAAGCAGCGGGTTTTGTGCACAAACTCGCATAATCACATCAATGTGTGTCACTGGAGAGTGACATCCCACAGTCATCTCCATCAGAGCTTTCCCTGGCGCACCTGGCTAACGCGGCCAAGCGACACAGGTGAGGCTCGGGGCCGGGGCGGTAACTGAGGGGCGACAAAGGAAAGCCGGCCTCAACCGCGAGCCCAGACCGCCATTTTGGGCGAGGTCAACGGCGCCACAGAGGGGCGCGGGCTCGCGCCAAGATGGCCGCCAGCCAACGGCCGCCCGGCGGGCACGCCCCGCCACGCCCCGGATGCAGTCGGACGAGAACCGGAAGCTGTTCCCTCATGCCGGAAGTGGCGCCGTTCTGGGGTGGCGATGGCAGCGGGCCGGCAGCGGCGGCGCGGATCGGCGAGTCCTCTCGCCTCTCGGCGCGGTGGCGCGGGCTGAGGGGAGCGGACCGCCCACCGCCGCCCTCCCGCTCCCTCCTTCTCCGTTGGAGGAAGGTAAGGGGCTGCTTTGGCTCCGGGACGGCGGGACACGGCGGGACTCGGCGGGGAAGGACGGCAAGCGGCCGTGCAGCGCGGGCCGAACGCTCGCGGTCACGCGGGAGGGACGAGAGCCTGCGGTCACGGGAGCGGGGCCGCTCCGCGGGGGGGTCTCGTAGCTCCGCGGGTGGCGGCACGGGGCTGGCAGCCGCCGGGACGGCTGGAGAGGCCGGGAGCAGCAGTGGCATCTCGGGAGGGAGAACGAGGGAGAAACCGGGCGTGGGCTGTGCCTCGTTCAGCCTGAGCCGGCACAGTGCTCCTCCGGCTGATCCTGGGTAGCAGGAGCAGACAATCGTCTCCTGCTGAGTTTCTTACTATTACTGACCTTGTAGTGGTGTTTGTGCTTTTACTATGCGCCTTCCTTTTGAAGACTTCCAAGTACCGTTAGCACTCTGTAATACACTCAGCTTTGGAAGAATGTATCACGGCTTAACTATGGGTTGGACTCTGGCACTTGATGTTTTGTCAGTAGATTCTTACCCAGACGCTTTCTTAAATATTTCCATATTGTCTTGATAAAAGTGTTAACTCAGTGTATTTGAAGACAGTGTACTGCTAAGATGCATAGAAATTCCAGTTTAAAGAACAAATGTCACAGACATAACTAGTGGCTTTCTCTGGCGTCTCACTGCCTGTTTGGCTGCGTTGGCCTCTTTATGTGTAGCAGTGTCAGGGATGGAAGGACTGCTTCAGTGCTGCCCTGGTCAGGTTCTGTCAGGTCAGGACTGGGGATATCATTCAGAAGTGGAAAACCATAAAATCATCTGTAATCGGTGCCCAGCTGCAGCTGTTTGGTCTTGGGAAGGGCAATCTAAAAAAGTGTAGTGAGTTTGCTGTCAGTGATGTTAAACTCTTGTGTACTTCTGTTGCAAGTGTGGCATGCAGGCTCACGTTCATGAAATGCACAGCTCATGGTGGTGCCCATGTTCATAGAATCACAGAATGGTAGGGCAGCCACCCTCCATATCTATTACTAGACCAGGCTGCCCAGGGCCCCATCCAACCTGGCCTTGAACACCTCCACGGATGTGGCATTCACAGCCTCCCTCTCTCTGGGCAAAAATTTGTTGAGAAATAGTCCTTAGTAGCTGAGAATGTGCTCTATCAAATAGTGTTGTTGTGTTCTTTGTACCTGTTGTAGTTTCCATGGAAATAAATACGAGGCATTATTTCTGAAGCAATGTATATATGTTTTGCTTAAACAGAACTGCAAAATTTTATTCCACTTCTTTCCTAGAAATCTTAGGAAAGATAGGACTCTGACAGTATGAAAACTGCCCAAGGGCTGTTTTGAGGAAAGATGATGATGACTTCCTTGATGCTATTGAGATCCTTCAGCTGGAGTGCTGGTGGCTGGTTTGAAGAAGGCTTCAAGTGACTTACACCTGTACAGCCAGCAGATAAAAATCAAGCCCAGTGGTGTGTGTGGAGCTTCAGTTATTTGTGCTTTTTTAGGGAGAGGGGAAGGAGAAGAAAATGGCAGTTGACTGCCGTCTAGTTTGCTGTGCACTGAGTCAGGTGAATGTATGTGTTCACCTTCTTTCCTCCAAAAGATTTACTGTAACTGCGCACATAGTAGAACAGAAATACAGCTAGGTGCAACATGCTGTCGTACATATCCCCGTTGTGCAACAAGTGCAGGTATGTATGCTTAGTGTGCACCTTCCCGTGTGTAAACTGAAAACTTTTAAAGTAATTCCTTGACAGACACTTAGCTAAAGCTTAATAAAACTGCATGTTGGTGCACTGCAAACAAGCAGTGTTGCTCATGTCACTAGCTGGCTGCATTTGTCTTAGAATTTTCAAAAGTTCTCTGATATCTCTGAATTCACGGGAAGTGTTGTATTGTCTCACCCTGTGGCCAGAGACCCCGAGTGCAGATTGGGTAAGTGACTTCCCCAGTTCAGGGCATCGGTTTTGTTAACCCATTGCTTGACTTTAGCTTCTTAGAACTTGCAGACTCTAAATTAGTCAGAACTTCTGATGGGAGTTACCGTTAGACTGTTACTGACATAGGAATACAGCTTTCCTCTGCTGTAGAGAAAACTTGGCTCTTTAGAAATTGGTGCCTGCATTGCTTTTATTTGTGTGTCATGAAAAGTTACAAGACATTAATTTATGAAAAGCAAGCGTTGTCTGTGTCCCCTTTCTCCAAACTGTACTGAATTTATACTTATTTTGTTACAGGTGCAGAGCATGGAGAATGATGAACTTCCGCCAGAGGATGGGCTGGATTGGTGTGGGGTTGTACTTGCTAGCAAGTGCTGCAGCTTTTTATTATGTCTTTGAAATCAATGAGACTTACAATAAACTTGCACTGGAGCACATTCAGCAGCACCCCAAGGAACCACAGGAGGGAACCACATGGACACACTCCTTAAAAGTACGACTGCTATCCTTGCCTTTTTGGCTGTGGACTATAATCTTTTTAATACCATATTTACAGATGTTCTTGTTCCTCTATTCCTGTACAAGAGCTGACCCCAAAACTGTTGGCTATTGCATCATTCCTATCTGCTTGGCTGTTATTTGCAATCGTCATCAAACATTTGTGAAGGCCTCTAATCAGATCAGTAGATTACAGCTGATTGACACTTAACTCCATTTCTAGTTTCTGTGGCTGTTTTGAAGCAATGCATATGCCTGATCTAATCACAAGACTGAAGTTCTGTGCGAAGGCTGGAAAGAGCCTTTTCTTTCAAACTGTTAAGCAATGAACAGTGACTGTTTTCTATTAAAAAAAAAAAAGTAATTCCAAAAGTTTTTAAAGTATTGTTAAAGTATTGGTCTATCAAAATGACTCGAATGGGGCAGTTCTATGTGACACATGAGGGAAGTATTCCTCATTTTGCCTTAATGATGCAAAACTGCTACACTGCATCTGAAACATTCTTTGGGGAAATAAGTTTCTGCTCTATGACTTTACTCTTCTGTGCAAAAAAACCCAAAACTACATCCTTTATTTTTCTTGGAGTAAAATCAATGAAAAGATAATTCTTCTGTGATAAATGTAAAAGAAAAAAGATCAGAAGATGATTATAGAAGTTGCACTTAGAACAGCTTTTTTCTTTTTTTTTTTTTTTAAAGTAATTCATACCTACATCAGTGCTGATTTTTAACACATTTTAAAAATAAATTTAGGAAATGCAGGAAGCAAAGAATAAAGAACGTGCAAATCATTGAAGAGAAAAAGATATCTATTTTTTCTCTGAAGTATCATGTATTTTTTTTCTCCATTGACTAGAATAGCACGTAGCAGGTAGGCAGTGAGGAGTGGCACAAACCTGGAGGTGCTTTAAACTTCTTCCCTACAGTGTCAAAAGCAGCTTGTGCTGGTGTTGGGCTGTAAGAGGCACAGAACTTTGTGTTTTCTTCTTCCTTTAGAAATCTCCTTTGGTAAAATTACAAACGGTTGGAATTTTCTACTATTCTAATGTCTTTCCAGACATGCAAAAACATATTCTGTGAGTACTGATGAGTTACAAAGACTTTACATTTGTGAAAGTTAAACTGTTATGAAGTTGGGGAGTGCTCTAAGCCTGTTGTAGGACAAATACTATCTTTCTCCCAGAATTCTGAGTAAGATACACTCTTCTTGTTCTTGAAAGAAATGTGGCTTTATTCAGTCATACTGAAATCCCATTGACGTTTCTTATCATAATTTCACCTTGTTTTTCAGTGCTATTTTGATGTAGCATTTATTTCTGACTACTGGACTGTGTGTTTTCAATGATGCCAAATCTCTTCTTTTGTCCTTTTTTTTGTTTGTTTCTTCTTAGAGTAACTAAATTTTTGAGCCATGATGGAAGTAACCTTCTGATTGTGAAACATTGCAAAATATGGACTTCAAAAGCAGTAGGCCCCAAACAGTTATGCACTGAACTTCTCACTTATCATTTTTTTAATTTGATTATACGTGATTGTCAGTATCTAATGATCACAAATGCTAATCCAGTTCTGACAACTTTAAGGGAATCTTGGACATGATCATCTGTTTCCTGCTTTGGAAAGAATGTGTTGCTGTGTTCAAGGGTGGTGGTTACAGCACCTTAAATGTTGGTTGCGTATGGAGATACTTCTAGACTGTGGTCTCAGATGTCAGCAGGGGTGCTAGGACCTAAAAACACGATGTAGCCTTTACAAGAAGGTTTTTAAGTTCAAAGTGCAATATGAAAAGGAGGAAGCTGCCATCTTATATGCTGGAGTAAGAATAAACTCCTGCTCCTATCTTTTGGAGTCAGAGCTTTTAAGTTGTGTTGTTTCTTAACTTTAAAGATCACCATCTTATTTATCTATAAAATAAAAAACTTTTCAGTGTTTATAAACAGAAGTCTGTTAATGCAGAGATATGTTAATGGTCTTTTATTGTGTACCTTTGTTCTTAGGTGGCAGTGCTGGCATTCAGTGACTGTTGCTTGTTGCTGTCCTTTTTATCCCTTAGAGTGTGTATTTGGTTGATTGTGTCATCTTTTTGTTCTCTGTGTCCCAATTCCTTGGCTGTAGCCTGAATTGTTGGGGCTGGTTGGATGACTCTGATTCCTTTGCTGTTTCTCTACTTCTGCATAGCAGGGAGATGTCCGGCTGGATTTTCTTTTATTTGCTGCTGTTTTTTAACTGAGAAGTTGCTATAATGTGTCTAGTTATTTAGATGAGAACAATATAAGAGGAAGCACCAAAAATGGAAAATGAAGTGAGAACCATGTGGCCAGGATATGAAGCACGTGCTGCCTGCAGCAGTGTCTTACAGATGGTGGTTTGTGTTTATAGAATTTTCCACTTTTTTATTAAAGCTGTCTGAAAGCAGTGAGTTTTACAGCGAACTGCAGAAAGATGCGTGAACTAGTTCAAGCCAATGCTACATCTGTAAGGGTTTGAGTTTAAGGTGAGAAGGAGCAATAAACTATTAACAGTATAACCTATTAATGTAGTGCATAGGGATTAGTAGCTGACAGGGCTGGGAGAAGAAGGAAGTTTGCTCTGCTGGTGCTTCCAGCATTTTTGGCACCAGTGGAACATCAACAGGTGAAGTCTCTCACCAAGAGAGCAAGCAAAAGCTATAAAAATAGTGATTAGATTGCTTTTACTTGTAAAAGAGGTTGTAAAATTAAAGCTGATTACAGTGACGATTTTTAGATAGTGTCAAGGCTAATTTGTTCTCACAGAAAATCGTGGCTTGCTACACAAATTGGCATAGTGTACAAGCTAATTAAGCTTAAAGTTATAAAATCTCTTTAAAGACTGTGTTACCTCTGAATTAGTTCTTAACTGTAAATGGCAATTGCACAAATCTGTTTCTATAGCAGTAGCATTACTACTGTGAGTTACAGTAGCATTACTAGATGTGACACTTGCTTATACCAGAACTTTTCTTCATTCCAACCTTACCTCCAAGTGGACAGAGAAGATGAATTGCTACAACTTCAGTTAGAGGTAGAAAAGCTCTTTTTAACTCAAAAAGATTTGCTTCAGATTTCTGTCTTGAACAGCTCTCATGCAGAAGCTGTGAATGCAGAGGGGGTAATGAAGTCTTGAGGAAAAATAATTAACCTTTGTCAGCCTAGCACTCACTCAGAGGTTTTTTTTTTTTTTTTTTTTTTCTGCTGAGGAAGTGAGTAGCCTTAAGGCTTATTAATATTTATCTCTGTGCCACTTGTTCTGCATTTTTTTTATTGTCTGTGTCAGAAGATGAAGCTTTTTTAGACTGCTTAAGCATTGCTCCTGGGCAGCCTGGCTGGCAGCATCATTAACTACCTTGCCTTCTCCTGACAGTACCTTCCCATCTCAGGACAACCTCTGCCACGTTCTGTGACTACTGCTGAGCCACTTCATCTCTTCTTGTGGGAGAGCAGGTCCAGTGGAGAGCATAAAGCATGGCTGCAGCCCTGCAAGTGAGCTGCAATAAAATGGGTTGCTTACGAAGAATGTTTCTCCTGGCAGCAAAGTAGAGCTGTGAGCTTTTTCTTTGCTCCCTCACAAAACCATCTGAGTGCCTAATAAATACGATTTAAAACTTTTTTTTTTTTTTAACATAGAGCATTTACACTCTGCAGTGGATTTAGGCTCAAAGCTGTTTGAACCAGCAAACTGCTCTGTAACAGCAGGCTGTCGTACGCCACAATCCCCGTGTGAAGGAGACTTGCTTTGGCAAGACCACAAACCTCACCAAAGCTTTCTGTACCTCTTGCCTTGGGGCAGCCTGAGAAAATTTCCCAGCTCAGGTGTCACACGCAGCACGTGGCAGCAGCGAGCTCATAGTTCAGGGTTACTGAAGCTCCCGCGAAGCTCCGGTAACTTTTTCATCGTTCCCAAGTTTTGTGGCTGCAATAAGGGCTACAAATGGTTGTTTAGAGGCACGATCTGAATGACTGCCCTTGGCCCAATGCCTATCAATCTCTTCTGACTCAGCTGCAGCATTTTGCGTCCACGCTGACAGAGAAAAAAGGAGTTCTCTGTTACTGCAGCATTGCCCGCATTTACTCCCGCGCTAGGAAAGGCGGTGCGCTTTGCTTTAGACGTGTGGTTTCAGCAGCGAGCTTCTGAAGCCGCAGCAGCCCCAGCACCGCGTGCAAACGTTGGTTGCGGTGCAAAGGCCGCGTGCGGGAGCCCTTCCGGCCCGTTTATGGGTGTAGCGCAGCTTTTTGCACAAAGCGCTGCCTCGGCCACTTCGATAAGCCGCTTCCTTCGCTGCTATTCAGATCTCCAAAGCGCATTTACTCGGCCCCTTTTTCAACCACTTCAAATAAAGTCGGACAGTTCTGTGCTTAATTTATTCAGATGCTTTGTCTTCCACGCTCCGAGTGTCAGTAAGGTAAAACGCTCGCGCGGACGGCAGCGTCGTTCGGCAGCGGCACGCGAGGCGCTGATCGCAGCGCGCTGCTCTGCCGTAAGGAGCCGCGCTGCAAGGCTTCCACGTTTTCCGCCTGCCCGCGCCGTCCGCGGCCGCACGGAGGGCAGCGCCGTTACGGCGCCTTACAGCGGCGATGACGGACGCCGCTCTCCGCCGTCACCGCTTTACTCGGCGCGGCGCCGCCCTCACGGCGGCTGCACCCTCGTCCGCTTCGCCGGGGGCAGCTCGGCCCGCGCCGCGTCCACGCCGTTCTCCTCGTCTTCGTCGTCGTCCTCCTCCTCCTCTTCCTCCTTCAGGCCGTCACCTGCCGGACGCGACGCGCGGCGCTCAGCGGCTCCCAAGTCCGGCAGCCCCGCGCCGCGCCGCCCCTCCACTCACCGCCGCCCGGCGCTCCGCCCGCCGCGCCGCGCCGCTGCTGTTCCAGCACGAGGGGCGCCAGCAGCTCGGCCACGCGCTCCTGCAGCTCTGCCAGCCCGCGCCGCAGCTCGCGCAGCTCCTCGCGCGGCTCCCCGCCCGCCTCCGCCGCGCACCGCACGCGCACCTCCCGCGCCCGCCCGCCGCCCGCGCGCAGCTCCGCCACCAGCTCCATGGCGGGAAGGAGGGAGGCGCGCTTCGGCCACGCGCCTCGGCCTTGTGACGCGCGCTCCCGCCGCCCGGTTCCGCTTCCGCTGTGGCGCCGCCCGGCGCTCGGGCTGCGCGGTTCCCGCCTCGGCGTCTGTCCGCGGCCATGGCGGCAGCTGCGGAGGGAGCCGGGCCGGGGGGCGGCGGCGGCGGCGGCGCGGGGGCGGGGGAGGAGCCCGTGGTGTCCTTGGCGGAGGTGCTGGCGGAGAACGAGGAGCTGGAGAAGGAGGCGCGGGCCGTGCTGGGCGGCAGCGACCACGAGCGGTGCAGCTACTCCCAGGTGCGGGCGGGGCCG